CACCAGGCTAACCCATCCTCCCATCCCCCTCCCCTCTAGAACCCTGTTTGTTTTTCAGAGTCCATCGTCTCTCATGGTTCGTCTACCCCTCCGATTTCCCCCCTTCATTCTTCCCCTCCCGCTACCTTCTTCTTCTTCTTCTTTTTTTTTCTTAATATATATTGCATTATTTGTTTCAGAGGTACAGATCTGAGATTCAACAGTCTTGCACAATTCACAGCACTTACCAGAGCACCTACCCTCCCCAGTGTCTATCACCCAGTCACCCCATCCCTCCCACCCTACCCCCCACTCCAGCAACCCTCAGTTTGTTTCCTACGATTAAGAATTGATAGACTGTTTCTTAATAAACCGTTACTCACTAGTTTTAGCATCCATTGATGATTCTTGACTGAACAGTTATTACTATGGTAACTGTCAAATAGTGATATACTAAATTCTCAATCTTATTTCTTAATAAAGAGCATGAGTTTTCCAGGCACATAAACTAGAACTGGTAAATTCCTATTGCCATCTTTGAACCTACTGATTCTATTTTATGTAGTCGTAGTGCTAGATTCTAATGATTATATTAGAGTCTAGCATTTCTAGATTGTCGTTGAAACCGGGGTTGCTTTGGGAAGACCTCAGAGGAATTATTAAGGCAATTCTATGGGGCTATGCCATATCTTTGGAATTTTGAAAGCAGTTTTCACTGTAATTGGGTGCTAGGCATAACAGTAGACCTTTCACAGGGTTATTCAGGGACCCTGGCTTTTATATTGTGGCTTCCCCTCTTCTAGGTCATATTAGTTCTTGGCTGGATTCTGTGCATTTGGATGGCAGAAGAGAGCAGAAAGAATTTGGAGAATTGCTTGGGAGGTTCTTGTGGCCAAGCTGGAAACGGCACATACCATCTCTGCTTGCATTCCATTGGCCAGGATTTGGTTATATGGTCATTCTAACTGCAAGGGAGACTGGGAAATATAGTTTATCTGTGTGATCTAGAGGTAGAGGGGATGGTTTTTTTGAAACTTAGCAGGGTCTCTTGTAGTTTTGATTCTTGGACATTATCAGATGGCACTATGAAGCCTCACGTTTGGCTCAGAGGTGGTTAATTAATGTGTTTTGTTGAATGCATCAATTACATAGGGACATCTGTGAGGTTAGGCGTCTGCCTAATTTATAGAAAGAAGGCTTCCTGGCTTTTTCATTCCAGTTGGCTTGCAGCAGCCTTCCTATTTCCCCTGATAGCTCTCCTCCCCTTGAATACACTGTCTTGATAAATTTTTACTTCAATAAATTACTAAATCAAATTGTTCCTCCACCTAAGCAGTATACCCACATCTTCAGAAAAAAAGTCATAAGTCACTCTTCAACCCCAAGTCAGCATAGAATAATCTGGAAGAGCTGAAGGAATCAGAAGCGTTCCTAAGGTGGAACTGCAGAACCAACATAGGGAGTAGAGAGAGCCTCTGGAAGAGAAGCCTCTCTCTTGCCTAATTTCTACCAAAATGCTAAAATCAAAACACTTTGAATCCTACCATCAGGGGACAAAATGAATTTTTAGGACACTCCTGTTTAAAAGCTCATTTAGCTTTTATAGCATGACTAATGTATACTGTAGTCAGAACTGAAATACAATCTTTTTGAATTTGTACCTCCTTCCAGTGAAATATGCCCACCATCATCCACATAGTAAAGAAATACTGGTCACTTCTACCACATATTGAAAAAGGCCAAAACTCCTAGCTGTTTGGGCAATGAACACCTCTACCACTCATTAGAGAACATCATTAGAGAAACCTATTGCAGGGAGGGGTGAGGCAAACCAATTGAAAGGAGAGTGGGAAAATTCTTATAACTCTTGATGTTTCATTTTAAAGGAGTGGTGTTCTCACTAGGAACTGCATAAGATTATGCCCTGAGAGCAGTTTAAGAAAATTAATAAATCTAGCTCAGTATAGAGAGTATAGAGTTTTATCAGAAAATAATCATTCCAAATCCCACGTGATTGGTAAAATTAGCAGCTTGTGAATCAGAATGATGTTAAGGTAATGTGGCAGGGAAAATGTCTTCAGCTGAACATAATTCCCTATGATTGATCCTGGCTGCAAAATTTTCTGGCAGCAGAAATTTATGGCAAAGTTGGCACTGCCACCATCACTTTGCTGCACTGCTGTCTCCACTGTCTGTACAGGCAGAAACACACTGGGATACTGTGCTTTTCTCTTCTGAGGCATCCCCACATCATCGTATTATTAAAAAGAAGAAAGTGGGGCCCCTCTTCTTGTCCAATCTACATCTAGTTCTGTAATTGATGTGAAACGTGAGTTTTACAGTTGGGGGTCAACTGCCACATGTTTTCTCAGCTTCCACTGAGTCATGCCATCATATTGCCCTTTCTCATTATTATTATTTATTGTTCCTTGAACTTAGCAAGCAAAAGTGGCTCATACAATAACTCTGGCAGTGCCAAAACAAACGGACATGCTCCTGCTCTCTGAGTTGCTTAGGGTTTAGAGACACGAATGATACTGTGCAAAAGAAAAATGCAGAACAAATGCAGAATGGAGAATGTATATTTCCCCTTTGTTCCATTTCTTATGCCATTGACTCCATGCTCATTGATTCAATGAAGAAAAGCTTGCTTGAAATATGTATCTCAATTTCTGAATGATTGTTTGAAAAATAGTGAGATTTAGATATTTCAATGATTGTTATGAAGAAGCATTTTAAAAATTTCACAGATTTAGAAATTTTAGCTCTTGGCAGAAAAATAATTCAAATTAACTTGGGGGATGGTTCTTAAAAAAAGAATACTACTTATATTACTGTTAATCTAACGTAAGTATAGGGAAGAAATGTGGAAGACCGAAATCACAGTATCACACCAGAATACTCTTCTTAACTCTTGTTATTCACAGTTTTAATTTAAAATGTTAAATGTTATAGCATGTGAACTTTGTATTGGAGGCTTCCCTTGGAACTAACTGTAAAGGTAAAAGATTTTTATGCATAGAGGAAGGAGTCAGGTCTTTCTAGAGACTCGAATGAGTATCACATGAATGAACGAACAGATGAACAAATCCTTCTTGGTTGTTTTCCATCAAATTACTTTTCTTACCTTTATTTTTTAAAAATTACTTGCTATAGTCTCCTCTCTTATCTCTAAAATACTTTATGTCTATATATTTGCCTATCTGGTGGACCTTTGCTGTTGTTTTTCTGTGAAGTATCTCTTCTTTCTTCTGGTAACAGCATTCATGTTCCTGAAGACCTTTTTTCCTCCACAATCAGGTCATGTAGATGTAGTTTTGGTTTGGGCAAAGCTGACTCCACCCCCATATCCAGGGGTGTTCACATGACCCAGGCTTATCAAGGATGAATTTACGACCCACATCTATCCAATCATAGTGAATCCCAGCACTTTTGCTGCAGCTATAGGAGGTATGGAAGGAGGTATAGAGGGAAGCTGATATATATATAGGAGATCTTGTCTGTGTGCTGGCCTTCCTAAGAAGGTGAGAAACTGTTCTAGAGCTGTTAAGTGCCATCTTGGATTACGGTGCAGAGTCTGTTTTGAAAGGGGTCCAGCAAGAAAAGATGCAATTCCTGAGTGTTCTGTGGACATTGAGTTCCTAGACATAATAGTTCCTGAAACCAGTTATGGGTATTGAGTCAATACAATTTTTAATTAGTCTTACAGCAGTTGAGTTGGGTTTGTTATCAGTTAGGGTTTAGATGAATCCGTATCCCCCCCCAAACACTTCAGCATCTTTATTTGAGAAAATAACATAAACTAGAATTATAGCATTGTTTCCTAGAAAGCTTTCTTTATTTCTGCTATCACTACTAGTTTTTTGGTATCTTCCTTGCTTATTCTCATGCAGAGTAAAAGCTGCATAAATGTTTCCATGCATTATTGTTTATATTATGAAAATAGAAGAACTTGTCAGCTATACTTTAGTTTATAACACTGTCATTGCTAGGGCTATGGGTTAAATTATGTCTTGGTGAAGTCTTTCCCTCATGACTGTGCTTTGGCTGAATCCTGTCTCCAGGGAGAGGAAATGTTTCTGTCATTCTCCCTCTTCCTGAGGAAGCATGTCTCCAGCCTTGCAAAGTCATCACGCCTGAAAAAATCCCCACCAGGCTGTGTTAGCACAACAGATCCCTCCCATGTTGCTAATTATGTTGTGTGCCCCCACCCCCTTAAAGCCACACACCTCTGCAGTGTCCCCATCACTGAGTATTGCCTTTCCTGGAATAAACACACACACAGTATGTGCTTTAAATGCAAAATCAGGAAAACTTCAGAAAAAAAAAAAAAAGGAGAGGTGCTGCTTTTTGCTCTCTCATTTATAACATGATAGCTTTTATTACTTCTTGACTGTATTTCTCCTTGGTTTGACTCACGTTCAGGAGGCAATGGAGCATGGGGACCCCATAGTCTTATAATGAATCCTGGCCCTTCTGTTCACCAAGTGTATAATCTTGGGAAAATAACTTGAACTTCTTATTCTCTGTTTTCTTATAAAAAGTGTATTAACCATACATATCACATGATGTTGTCAGAATTGAGATAATACACATAATGCATTTAGGATAGTTCCTTCTATATAGAAAGCCCTGAATTAAGGTCAGCTGCACTTTAGTGGCTGGATAATTTCTCTCCATTCTCCTGTTCCTCAGCATTCTAATTCTCAGGTAGCACTCTACCCCAGGCTAGACTGGTCACCTTCTTTGCTTATTCGGAAGGCAAGTCCTTCCGAAGTACAATTTGAGGTGCCTCAGAAAGGTTTTACTTTTACTTAAATGTTTATGCCTCTGCTCAAATTAACCTTTATGCCCCATCCTGTGTTTAATGTTAAGACCCCTATTAAAATGTAATAGCTTTAGCCCTTATATACTTTTAATTCATTTACAGCAGAGATCAGATTCTGGAGGTATGAGGAACAGGATGAGTCAGTGGAAGAAGACAGGCCAAAACTAAAGTGTTGTTTTGCTTCTGATTCCAGGGCTTTGGGAGAGATAAGAATAGGGTGTTTAAAGGAGAGGACCTTGCCTGGCCAACCAGACAGCCAGAGTCAGCTGGTGAGCAGCAAGTGTTGGATGTCAAAGGTAAGGGTGTTCTACCACCTCTTTGTTGGATGTTGCAGTGGGGAGCCCACAGCTGATGCCCAAGCTGGATGGCGTAAAAGTATTCTAGGTAGCAGCTGGAAGTCAGTCAGGAGAACTGAAACTGATCTAATTTGAAGTGAGAGGAAATTAAAGCAGAGAATTGAACACACAGTTGATGGAAGATCTGAGATGCCAAATAGAAGTTGGTGAAGAAATGCACCAGCAAAATCAGGATGCTGTTATCATCCCTGGAGCTAGAAGTACAAGGGAGCAGATGGTATCCCTGAGACTGGGAGCTGAGGCCACCTAGCAAAAGCTAGAGCCTCAGTGGGCCTCTCTGGCAGGAACCAAAGCCATGGAAGAAGGCACAGTTGCTGTCTGAGACACTGCCTACAAAAGAGAAAGATGGGGAAAATACCCTGCCCTCTCCCTTTATTCTGTTCTGTAACCTCCTGCAGGGTCTCCCATTGGGTAAACATGGCTGAAGCCAGCTGGGACAAGAGCCTAGAGAACAGAGGCTGCAGGGATTTCCTCAATGATATACAGAACAAATCAGGAGATGGGGCTAAGATTGATCTAAACAATGAAATGATGGACACTTTACTGAGAGGAAGAAGGAAAATCCCTTTCCTATGGTCAAATAAGGTGACACAGAGGAATTTAAGTTGTCAAAAGGTCTTCTTTATGTTTGCCATGCACATCAGGGATTTTGGCTTGGTTTTTAGGTCTGGACTTAGATATAGAATATTATTCACCTAGTTTTTTGCAAAGGGTAGAATCTTTGCACTAGAAACAGGTGTATTGCTTGGGTTCAACATGCTGATTCCTGGGCCTCACACCAGATCTTCTAAATGTATTTCCCTTATTGTGGTATCCACTGGTTTGCCTACTTCTCTCAATGTTATAATTGAGATTTGTGTTCATAAAGCTTTTTGAATTTAAAATTAGGACAGTCACTCCTTGAACAAACTTTGCTTCATTTGTTTTTCCTCTTGGATAATGAGTGATGCTGTCCTTAAGAACTTCTAGTCTACCGGCCTGTTCAATATCCACCCGAAGGTTCTGCCCAGGACTTAGATCACTGATGAGAAATGTCTCTTGTCCAGAGATTGATGGTTTAACTCAAGAGAAGGGCAACAAATTCTCAAGCATGTTAACAAATCTCCCATCCCAGGAACAGGGTTGCATAATTGAAAAAGTTAGAAATAGAAACCAGAGGAATTCCTTGGTGCAAGAGGTCAGTGAGATAGATTCCCCAGCTGGATTGCAGAACACGCTGCTCAGTGGCCTCGGGAAGCCATTTCGGGTATTTGAAGTCAGTTGCCTTGTATTTCCCTCAATGTTTCTTAAATGATTTGGTTTTCACTGCTAGAACTGGTGGTGTTTTGATGCACATGTAATGAACACAGGTCTGAACACAGATGCATGGGTTAAGTATTCCTTTGGTGCATGAGCTAAGATTTGAATCTTCTCTGACCCTGTTTTCCATCTTCAAATTGGGAACAGCTGCTGTGCTTCCCTTACAGAATAGTTGGAAGAATTACCTATATTAATTTAATAAGGATTTATTTGAGTGCCTCCCGTGTACTGGGTCTCATGTTAGAATTATTAATACAGCATTCTTGTTTTAAAGGGCATCATAGCTTCTAAAGATAATCGTGTGTGAAAGCAGTCTATATTTTGCAATGCTTTATTGTGTTAAAAGCTATTATTTAAAGTGCTATAGAAAAATCATTTGCTACAGCTTGGTTGAGATAGCTATCAGTTTCCTACTTATGGGATCTACAAAACAGATTTGGGATATCAGTGACTTAAACTTGAGGACCTCTAGAAGGGAGTCAATGATGCCTAGGGTGCTATAGACAGGTCTAAGTCCTCACTAGTAGGAGGAAGAAGAAAAATGTGAGTAAGAGAAGGATGATTAAAAGACAACAAATTCAGGGGCACCTGGGTGGCTCAGTCAGTTAAGTGTCTGACTCTTGATCTCAACTCAGGTCTTAATCTCAGGGTTGTGAGTTCAAGTCCTACATTGGGCTCCATGCCCAGCATGGAGCCTACTTAAAAATAAAAATAAAATAAAAATTTTAAAAAGACAATAAATCCCAAAAGACTGGAATGAAATGCAAAGAGGAGCAGTATGTAGCTGTTAATGTCTGCTACAGTTACCCCATCAAGACATCTTTCTGTTGTTCAAAGAATGATTCCAACAGAGTATATATTATTCTTACTTTGGCTCATATGAGAAAGTTTGGCAAGAAAAAGAGAATTGGATGGAAGGTCATTGTGTGGGCTTTGAACCAAGTTTATGCCACTCTTCAGCTGTGTGACTGGCTGAAGCTATGATCCTGTTTCTCAGTTGTGAAATGGGAAAAAATGACCATTTCCCAGACTCACAGAATTGCTGGGAGGTTCAAAGCTGCCAAATATGTAAAGTGCTTATTGATACATTGGCAGCTTCTCATTCAGTCAAGGTTTGCTTTCTCTTCCTACTGTGTCATTCTGGCCTGGGTTGCTTTCTGGTCTAAGTTTTGGAGCTGAAGACAGATTGCTGTGCTATACTGAATGGAAAATGTCCTGCCCAGGGGATCTTTGCAAGATAAGAAGGAGTTATCATACTATAAGGAAAATTTACCTTGAAGCAGTGTCAAACCTATTTTCATAAGTTATGGTGACAGCATGTGGGTGGCATATCAAAATCTCTGTCATCAAGGGCAGAAATCTCTTGATTTTCATGTAGAAGAAGATTTGGGGAAAGGAAAGAAAGGTAATCAGTTTTTCTCTACTCCTTTGTAGGGTCTTCAGCAGTTTACTTATCAGTCTTAGACTGAATGGACTTAAAGTTACCAAAGGAGAATTGTAGTAGATTATACTGAATTAGATGCATCCTAATATTAGAAAACAATTTTTAAAAATATAAACTTTTGATGAGAAATAACAAGTGTTAGCAAGGATGAGGAGAAAAGGAACCATTGGGCACTGTTGTTGGGAATGTAAATTGGTGCAACCACCGTGGTAAACAATATGGAGGTTCTTCAAAAAATTAAAAATAGAAATACCATATGATCCAGTAATTCCACAACTGGGTATTTACCCAAATAAAATAAAAACACTAATTCGAAAAGATATATACACCCTTCTGTTTATTGTTATCATTTACAATAGCCAAGATATGGAAGCAACCTAAGTGTTCACCAATAGATGAATGGATAAAGAAGATATATACACATACATATGTACAATGGAATATTATACAGCTATGAAAAAGATGAGATCTTGCCATTTGTGACAACATGGATGGACCTAGAGGGTATTATGCTAAGAGGAATAATTCAGAGAAAGACAAATACCATATAATTTCACTTATGTGTGGAATCTAAAAATCAAAACAAACAATAAAAGCAGAAATATACCCATAATTACAGGAAACAAACTGGTGGCTGCAGAGGGGGGCAATGGGCAAAATGGGTGAAGGGTTGTAGGAGGTACAGGCTTCCAGTTATAGAATGAATAAGTTCTAGCATAGGTACATGAATGGTATAGCATGAATGAAAGAATGAAAGAAAGAATGAAAGGAAGGAAGAAAGGAAAGAAGGAAGAGAGAAAGGAAGGAAGAGAAGGAAGGAAGAGAGGAAGGTGGGAAGAGAGGAAGGTGGGAAGAGAGGAAGATGGGAAGAGAGGAAGGTGGAAAGAAAGAAAGAAAAAGGTACAGCATAGGGGATATAATCAGTGGTATTGTATAGTATTTTATGGTGACAGATGGTAGTTACATTTGTGAGCATAGCATAACATATGGAGTTGTAGAATCATTATGTTGTACAGCTGAAAATAATGTACTAGCGTGTGTCAACTATACTCAAATTAAAAAAAATATGTAGGGGCACCTGGGTGGCTCAGTCAGTTAAGTGTCTGACTTTGGCTCAGGTCATGATCTCAGGGTCCTGGGATCAAGCCCTGCATTGGGCTCCACACTCAGTGGGCTGTCTGCTTGTCCTGCTGCACCTTCCTCTGCTTGTGCCCTCTCTCTCTTTCTCTCAAATAAATAAGTAAAATCTTAAAAAAAAATGTATACTTTTTATTCATATGTAACTCATATACAGAAAAGTCAACAGGGTGTAAGTATACAGCTTGATGAATTTTCAAAAACTAAATGCACTCATGCACTCAATACTCAGATTAAGAAACATTACCCCAGACCTTCTACATGTTCCCCTCCAGTCACAACCTTCCTTTCCCCCCAAAGACAATCACTATCCTGACTTCTAGCACTGTAGACAATTTTTGCCTGTGTATGATATAAATGGAATCACATAGGATTTTGTGTTTGATTTCACTCACTTAACATGTTTGTGAGGTACGGTCATATATGTGCTTTGAAATTTATTCATTCTGATTACTCTTTAGTATTCTATTGTATAAATTATTATTTATTGATCAAAATGTTATGGAGATTTTAGTTATTAATTTTGGTCATTATGAATAGTGCTGCAGTGAACATTCTAGCACAAGTCCGTGGTGGTGAATAAATGCATGCATCTTGTTGGAGCGTAACTATTGGGTTTTCAGGTGTACCTGCATTCATCTTTAACAAATACTGCCAAACAGTTTTCCAGAGTGGCTGTACCATTTACATGCCAAATAGCAGTATATGAGAGGTCCAGTTCCTCCACGCTCTTGCCAAAACTTAATTTTGATTGTGGCTTTATTTTAGCCATTTTCATTGGTATGCAAAAAAACAAAAAAAGAAAACCCCCAAATCTTAAAATCAGTACATAACTCCCCCCATCTCAATAGTGATGTTTCATTGTATGCTCAGGAAACTATTCTTTTATGGGCGTTATCTCCACATGATCCCTAGTTTAACCTATATATAAATGACTTGAATCAATTTAGATTAACTGTAAGGGCAGCTGCATCTGAATGTTGAACATTTAAGTATTGGAAACATTCTATGTTTGTTTTTGCTACATACCATAAAATTGCTTTTCAGGGCAGGCTCAACC